TGGACCACACCGCAGCCTTGCTCTCTGCACTGAGCTGGACCACACCGCAGCCTTGCTCTCTGCACTGAGATGGACCACACCGCAGCCTTCCTCCCTCTGCACCCACACCGCAGCCTTGCTCTCTGCACTGAGATGGACCACACCACAGCCTTGCTCTCTGCACTGAGCTGGACTACACCGCAGCCTTGCTCTCTGCACTGAGATGGACCACACCGCAGCCTTGCTCTCTGCACTGAGCTGGACCACACCGCAGCCTTCCTCCCTCTGCACTGAGCTGGACCACACCGCAGCCTTGCTCTCTGCACTGAGATGGACCACACTGCAGCCTTCCTCCCTCAAAACTGAGATGGACCACACCGCAGCCTTCACTGCATCTTCTACCTGCCTTGCACTGTGACTGCATGTGCCGACCAGCTCAGTCTCCCGCCCACCCGTGCAGAGGAAGCTGGAAACCCCTGATGAAGGCGCAGTTTAACTCAGGGTCACACTTCTGACGTGAGCAACGTACAGGCAGCTCAAGTGTTAATTTATTCAGCCACGATTCAACTGAAGCAGAGGTGACTTGGAATGGCTCCCTGGGGCCAGGAACTCATAAAGAGGCATTTATACTGTGCAACTCCCTCCTCAACTGAGTCACAAATCCAGTGATTGTTCTGGTAAGCTGGGCCTCGTGTTTTCTCTACAAATACATGCTCTAAGCTTTGTTTATGCAACAGCAAGGCTCGCTGGCCTCTAGGTGAAAGCCAAGCTGAGGGACGTGATGTGGAGGCGTGGTTAGAGCCTCGGACCTTCAGTTTTACGTGTCGTGGACTGTTCCCGGCCTGTTTCCTCACTAAGGAACAGGAACATGCCTAACTTTGACGTGTTGGCTTCAGTGAGAGATAATGCACAGAGCACAGCTAACCCGCTCTGAGATCACAGGCGCCAGGTCACAGTGACACCATTCCAAACGCCATCAGTTCTGTGGATAAATCAACTCCAGGGCATCCAGCCGGCCTTTCCCACCCCTTCTTCAGTGCTTCGGTCATTACCTACTCTGATGAGCTGTCAGTCACAGTAAGGACGCAGCCTCCACTTGAACCAAAAATCAGAAACAACAGAAATACTAATAACTTGGGGGAGGGGTGTCTAGCTGAAGCCAAAGGTAATGAAAGCAGAATTGCCACCCTTAGCTGTCATCAGCTGAAGGAATGTGTCAAAGAAACCTGATTCTGACGTAAAACCTGGAGACACATTCCTATCCCTCCCCTGTCCATCTTTCTCCCCCTCTCCTCCCCCTCCTCCTCCCCCTCCCTCCTCCCCCTCCCTCCTCCCCCTCCCTCCCACCTCCACTGTTTGTTTTGTTTGTTTGAGGGAAACAGGGATGGGGGAGGATGAGGGGGAGAATGAGAATCAATGAAGTCCTAACGTATTTAACCACCAGGTGGCAGTCTTCAGAAAGCCCTGTGCTTCAAGCACACCCTTACAAGCAGCCGTAACTGCTCAGTTAACCATCCTGTTGGCACTAGATAGTCTAAGTTTAGAATAGCTGCCTCAATAGCAAAAGAAAAAAAAATTCTGGTATAGGATTTCTATCAACATTTAAATTTTTTTAAATTGTCAAGTGTTCACAATAACGTAATCAGAATTCTCATAAAAATGTAGTGAGTATAAATGAAACCACAATATTGTAAAGCCAGCTAGAAGCTTTAGCCAATCGTGAGCATGTTCACAGGCCTGCACACCGACACAGACTCCAGAGAAAGAAATGCACGCTGCACTAGAGTTGCCCAGAACATTTACAGCACCAAACTAGAAGCCAAATATGGTCCCCAATAGGGGGAGAAATGGATTACCTATTACATTCATTCAGTAGAATACACACAAACAAATCAAATTCAGCACACAGGGTCAACCAATCGGGGCAACCAAGTTTGCAGATGAACTCCAGTCATTAGGGCTCTTACTACAATATTTCATTTATATGAAATTCAAAAACAGGTAAAAATATCAAGACTACTGTGCATACACACACACACACACACACACACACACACACACTTTAAAATGAAACCTTTCCAAACAGAAAAGGTGGGACACTTGGTTCTTGGTTGTTTTGCTTTTGTTTTTTGGTGACAGGTTCTCATGGTCCTGCCCCTTCCTCCCACACCCTGGAATTACGGGCAGGTGCACCACGCCCAGGCAGGCCCTTCAGCTGTCTCACAGAACAAAACTTTTATCCCCAAGAAATAAGGTCCTATATACAAAGCCACAAAGTATTCTTATGAATTTTGTCAAAATAAATACAGAATCAAAAATAGTCAGGCCCTTTATAAATGGAAATGATGCAATTAAAGTTTTCAACATTACAGTAGAATTCAGCAATGACTGCACAACCTAGCAGATCCACCCGTTTGCTGTGACACAGGAACTGGGCCTCAGCTTACACCGCTCCCACTTCCTAAAACAGGGGTACAGGCTGCGTCACACGCACCTGTCAGAAAGCAAACTTACCAAGGAATTCTTAATCACTTCACTTCTATAAAATTCTGGAAAAAAAGAAGAAAAAGAACAATAAGTGATAATGAAAGAAAACGAGGTCATTAAACCCTGAAAAACTCTGAAGATGCATTTTAGTACAGCAGCTAAAGCACCTTGAGGGGATCTAACCCTCTATTTTCTTTTTTAATTTTTTTTTTCTTTTTTGCATTTTGAGATAGGGTTTCTTGGTGTAGCCCTGACAGTCCTGGAATTTGCTTTGTAAACCAGGCTGGCCTTGAACTCAGAGACCCTCCCTCCTCCCCACCAGTTCTGGGATTAAAGGTGTGTGCCACCACCACCCAGAGAAATCTTTGTTGTTATTTGTTTGCTTGTTTGTTTTTGGTGGGGGAGGTTGGAGGGCTCTCTATTATCTCTATTATCAATAAAGATAAAAATAGGAACAAAGATTAAATGGAAGTGAAAACATTGGTGAAGCAGATTACAAATTTTTCAGATTTTTTTTCATAATTCAGCACATTCTAATTTAAACTCTTAAAAATTCAAATTTTCTTCCACGTCTTTCGACGTGTACACAGTAAGTAGGTGCATACATGTGTCTCGTCATGTGGGGGTCTGAGGCTGAGGTTATGAGTATCTGCTGTTCTTTTTAAGGCAGGACTACGTCTCAAGCTCCAAGCTCCTTCACACAGCTAGTGTGGCCCGCCAGCTTGCCCTGGAAATTCCACCTCTGCCTTCTGAGGCTGGATTATGGGGTGGACGGCCACACTCACCCGGATCCACAAGGGTCCTAGGGATTCAAACTCCTGTTCCTGCCCACCTGTGCAGCAAAGTACTCAGGCTGCTGAGCCATCTCTCCAGCCTCCTCCCTTCTGCTCTGCCCTTCCTCAAGAATCTGTCTCTGCAGCACTCCCTCCTGTCTGAGCAGGAGCCAGAAACCCAGCAACCTGAGCTTGACTGGTCTCCAACGTTCCGTCGCTTCAACTTCTTCAGAACTACAGTTCTTCTCTGAGCATTAAAATTTCATGATCCCACAAACCTTCATCTATATTGGTAAATGTAACAAAACACAAAAGCAGAATAAAAACAAGCTGGAGGTTCTGGCGGGCATTCCCAACAACCTCCAGTGGTGCACAGCCGCAGGGCCAAGCTACCTCGGGGCCACTGTCAGGGCACAGCCTAAGGGACTCCTGGGCTCCCTGCTGCCGCACTCCACTGGGACGTGACACGCGGACAAACGCTTGTTTCTGCTAACTGAAATATATGCCTTGCACATCCTACTTGTAACTGGAGGCCAGTAATAACGGTGCCTGTATCCAACAACCACCATCTCCTTGTCCCTGGCAAAGCAGCAAACACTGGACAGATTATGCTTTTATGAATGAACAATGACATGCCCAGGTGTTCATGTGAAGGGTGCTTCCAGGGACAGAAAAGTGAACCTCTTCTAGCGGGCTCTTGTTGTCACGGCATTTCTTTCTTTATTTTTGCTTTTGTTTTTGTTTTAGGTGGTTTTTAGAGGACAGGGTTTGTAACATCAATCATTGTCTCATTGCACCCAGGAGATAACAGGGTTGTTAAACATTCAAATAAAACACTAGATTAAAAAATGCCTTGAGTCAGAATAAACTTCCACTCATTTTATTCTTTCCATTGAATAAAGCCATATGCCAAGGAAATCCTCAAAGGGTCCTATCAGTGCCTTATGACCACATGAACCACTGTATGCAAGAGCTTTTCCAGATAGCCATGCCCACACCTAAAGGACCAGACAGCCATGCCCACACCTAAAGCACCAGACAGCCATGTTCACACCTAAGGACCAGACAGCCATGCCCACACCTAAAGCACCAGACAGCCATGTTCACACCTAAAGCACCAGACAGCCATGTTCACACCTAAAGCACCAGACAGCCATGTTCACACCTAAAGCACCAGACAGCCATGTTCACACCTAAAGGACCAGACAGCCATGTTCACACCTAAAGGACCAGACAGCCATGTGCACACCTAAAGCACCAGACAGCCATGCCCACACCTAAGCACCAGACAGCCATGCCCACACCTAAAGCACCAGCAATGAAGAGACTGGCAAACACAGTGCTCGAGACGCATGCTGGTTGTTATGCTACATTCCTTTGTTCAATAAAAGTTTTGAGTGCCTCAACCTTGCGCATAACAGAAGAAATACAAGTTTAACTCAAACTGCAAAACTATTTTCACCTCTCAGACGGCAGCCTCAATAGCTCACAGTCTATTGATAAGGTTGTAGGGGGAAAGACACACAAAACAATTCCCACCAAGTACAATGTCGCAATACCTGCCAAAACAACAACAACGACAAAAAAAAAAAAAAAAACCTTCTCCATGTCCCAAGAACACTCCCTAGAATTTACCCAAAAGGCTAACACCGAAGAGTAAAGTTAGCAGATGCAGCGTTATGTACAAGAGACTGGAACGGCCAGTCCATCACAGATGTCCTCTAGGGCACGCTGAGTGAGCAACGCTAAGAGCACAGACTCGGACACACTTGGTATCTGGGCAAGGAACCTGCTGGGAGTGGAGTAAGGAGGTCTTATTTTATAGCTCAGGAAAGACAAGCAGGAAACAGATGACATCAGTCACCAGGGCAGACGGGGAAAGGAGGTTGACGGATGTAGTGAAATCTGAACCAGACTATATTACCTACCCCCAAAAACCTAAGTTGAAAATAAATGGGGGAAGGGGAGGAGGGATGTGCCCAGCATCCTTCAGAGTATTAGAGGCAGAGCGGTTAAAGTGATCTAAAAATGCCTGTCTCTGTGGCACTCATGTCTACAGGAAGGAGAGAAACATTAACTAAACATACCAATGTCAGGTGATCTTAAATAACTATGGGGAAGAATTAGGGGACCAGTCAGAAGTGTACAAGGGTCAGTCGGCAATGAAGGAGAGCATGTGGAGCAAAGGCCAACAGGAATGTGGAAGAGCTCGTCAGGGAGGCACCTGGAGGAGGGTGTTCAGGCCAAAGTGCAAAAGGTTCCTTACAGGGACGGAAAGGACACAGACTGTCAGGGAACAGAGAGAGCAGAAGGAGGGGCTTCTTCAGGGACAGACCCTCAGGAGCAGTAGTGGGTTCTGAGGATCTTGGCCTTTTCAGAATGAGCTAAAAAACCACGAGAGCACTTTTTCCTCTTTTTTTTTTTTTTTTTTTTTTTGAGACAGGGTTTCTCTGTATAGTCCTGGCTGTCCTGGAACTCACTCTGTACACCAGGCTGAACTCAGAGATCCGCCTGCCTCTGCCTCCCGCACATGCTGGGATTAAAGGTGTGTGCCACAGCCCAGCCCCATGAGAGCATTTTTTTTGGAAATGGATAACATGATCTTCCTTTTGAACTGTGTCTGGGCTGAAGCTGGGCTGGGAGGGAGGGTGTGGGCAGAGGTCATCAGGAGAGCACTTCTGCCACTCAGGCGAGGGAGGACGGTGATACAGGGACAAAGAGGTCCCCAGGAAAGCATCTGCTGAAAAGTGGATGTAGGAATTAAGAGGAAGAAGACAACCCAGGAGGACTCCTGGGTTTTAGCCCAGGGAATGGGGTGGTCATTTTCTCAGAGAAAAACAAGGGTCAGTGGGCCGGCACATCTGAGACTCCATCTTGAAAACACTAGGTTGACTCCAAAAGGGACGTAGTAGCAGGCAGTTGGATGGAGGATATGACCTCAGAGGAAAGGTCATCAGAGGATGGAACTGGGGTGAGCTCGCAGGAACTACACAGAGCCCTGGTATAACCATGCGAGCTGGTATTCCAGAGAGGAAGCGCACTTAACACTTCACAGGTGAGAAAATAACGATGGTGGAAACTAATGAGAGGGGCTGGGGAGGTGGCACAGCCACTAAGAGCTTGCACTTACAACACTTCAGCTCCAAGAGATCTGACACCTTCTTCCAGCCTCCCAGACACCGATACTACCAGGTACACATTCCCAGACAGACACACAGACATATACACAATTTTAAGATAATGAATCTTTAAAGACAAACAAACAAACCCTCTCACTGGGTATGGTGGCTCATACCTACACTCAAAACACTTGTGAGTCCAAGGCAGAACTACCAGGAATTTGAGGAACGCCTTGGGTTCACAGTAAGTTCTAGGTCAGCCTGTGCTACAGAGAGAGACCTTGTCTCAAAAGTGAAGTAAAATAAAATTACAAATGTGAAACTTCCAAGTTAAGAGGGAGCAGGATTAGAACCGAGGCTTTGTTTTGAACGTAGGTCAAACACTGTTTGACATGAACCACCTTGAATGTAGACAATCTCCTATGAAAACTAAAGAGAAGCCGGGCGATGGTGGCGCACGCCTTTAATCCCAGTACTCGGGAGGCAGAGGCAGGCGGATCTCTGTGTGTTCGAGGCCAGCCTGGTCTACAGAGCTAGTTCCAGGACAGGCTCCAAAGCCGCAGAGAAACCCTGTCTCAAAAAAACAAAAAACAAAAAACAAAACAAAAAAAAAAAGAAAGAAAGAAAGAAAGAAAACTAAAGAGAGACCTAAAACGTTCCCTCATCTTCTCGAGATATACTAAGAATTAAGGAGAGAGAGAGAGAGAGAGAGAGAGAGAGAGAGAGAGAGAGAGAGAGAGAGAGAGAGAGAGAGAGAGAAGTCAAGAAAGGGGACGAAACAGATAGCGCAGGTGGCTTAGGAAGAAGAGCCAGTTGGTCGTTCCTCATGGTTATTCTGCACCAAAGGCCGAATAAGGACCATGAACTATTGATGACTGTCATGACAGATCAAACCAGATAAGGTAACATTAGCTAGAATTACTAGAAAGTCCCCCCCAGCTCCTACGATGAGAGTCACTAAAGCCCAGAAAACTCGGCTACCGTTCATTTCTTCATGACCAGCTGAAGCATAAAGATGTCTCAGAAGCCGTCAGTAGCTCACAGGAAGAAATAAGGTACCGCCCACCCAAGGGGTTTCTGAGGCAGTGGAAGGCTCTCCCACTGCAGACTGGGGCACGCCTGTGTACCGGCACTGCCATCCCGTTTGTAAAGATCTTTTCACTGGTGACCTCAGGAGAGTCTAAGGACTTTCAAAAGACTGTAGTCACCAGGTCAGGGGTGGCAGTAGACACCTTTAATCCCAGCACTTGGGAGGCAGAAGCAGGGAGATCACTGTGAGTTCAGGGCCAGCCTGATCAATGCAGAGAGCTCTAAGTCAGCCAGGAGCTGGAGGGAGGGAGGGAGGAAGGGAGGGAGAGAGGGAGGGAGAGAGAGAGAGAGAGATAGATATTGGAGCCAGAAGAGACAAAAGACAAAAGAGCAAACGCAGTCATTTTGTACATCATGTATTGCTGCTCTTGGCCTATCAAAAAATTGTTAGCACAGAGGTCTTGAAAATCAAGACTAAAACAGAGCCATAAGGCATCATGCTGTCTCTCAGGAACCTACTAGAAATCTGACAGCAAAATCCATAACAGGGCAACCTCGAAACTGCAGTGTTTACTTCTGCCACCACTGGTGCAGGATCACAGTCACCAGCCAGTCCCGTGGCTGCTCTGTTTACAAACCAGTATAACACTGCAATTCCAATAATAATGGCCCCCATTTCCTAAATCCCCAGAACGCACTAAGTACATTCATTGTTGGCATCACAGTTGACCCTGGAGCCAGGACACAGACGTTTTATAAAAATAACCAAGGACTGGGAATGAAAAGTGGCTCAGCAGTTGAGAGCACTTGCTGCTCTTCAGAGGACCTGGTTTTGGTTCCCAGAACCCACATGATGGTTCAGACATCTGCATCTCCCATTCTAAGGTGTCCGATAGGCCCTCATCTGGCTTCCAAAATAATGCATAGAAAGCCATACAGGGAAAACTCGCAGACAAGTAAAATAAAGATGAGTCTTTAAAAAAAGGAAAACAATGACCAAGGATTGATTATATAGACACTCATCAAAAACTAAAAGTACTTGCCAGGTGGTGGTGGCACACGCCTTTAGTCCCAGCACTTGGGAAGAAGAGGCAGATGAATCTCTGAGTTCGTGGCCTGCCTGGTCTACAGAGAGAATTCCAGGATGGACGGGGCTACATAGAAAAACCAGGACTCAGAGGGAAAAATATTCAACTGGGCCTGGTAGCACAGGCCTACAATTCCAGCCACTCGGAGACAAGAGAAGCAGAAGCTCAAGCCCTGCCTAGGTATGAAGCAAATTCAAGGGCATCCTACACAACCTAGAAAGACCCCGTCTCAACATCAGCAGTGACGAGCGGGCGCAGAGTGCACAGAGCAGCTGAGCACTGTATTCTGATCCCAGTACCACACACAGGAATTAAAATGCTCCAGCACAGCCACATAGTGCAGTAGAGAACCAAAGGTAGTAAGGTCTACGAAAAATGCTTTTCCCTTAATCTCGTGAGCAAACTGCTGCCCTCTGCTTTCTGGGTACACAGGGAGACTGCATTTTCCCACTTCCCTCTTCAGCTGAAAAGTATAATCCAACTGGTCCATGGCCAGCGTAAATGTGAGTATAGCAACCATCTGCACTTCAAATCTCTCTCAAATAATCCTTCTCTTTCTTGCCTGCCAGAGGCCACGTAGACAGGAGCGTGGTACTGAGACCAAGAGAGCTAGGTCGGTACCGAGGCAGGGGTTGGCAAGAACTCACAGAGTTAGCATGCCAAGTTCACCACGGTAACTACGGTAATCGGTCAGGTTAACAGCCACTTTAAGATATGCAATGGTTAGGATGAAAAATAAGAATACAGGGTGCTGGCTGTGGTGGCCCCTGTGGGGAAGAGCACTGGCCGCTCTTGCAGAGGACCCAGGTTCAATTCCCAGCACCCACACTGTGGTTTACAATCATCTGCAACTCCAGTTCCAGGGACCCGATGCCATCGTCTCACCTCCAAGGGCACCAAGCATACATGGGGAATGCATACACACATGCAGGTCAAATGACCTAACTTTAAAAACTGAATTGGAAGAAACTGAGCCATTCTGAAAATGACTCCATATACATAAATCTCAGTACAAGAAGATACCAACTTGGTTCCATAAACTTGGTCCCTGGAAAGGGCCATATTTTAAAGAAATATAAAATCAGTATAAGATAATGGACCCCCATCATTTGTTTTAATAGACTAGAATAGCAACACTCATAAAGGGGAAACGAACTTACCTAGCAACCGGAATAGTAACAGTAACATTAGAAAGGGGAAACAAACTTACCAACGACAGTCTATTTCCAGAGAACTGCCACGGCCATGTCTCTAACAGACATCATCTGCTTGAGATGTTTGCATAAAGCATAGCTGGAGAGAGAGGGGCACTACAAACCACTCCAGTTACAACAGAGCAATGTGGCGACCACCAAGGCTTGTGTCCTTACCTTTACAAATCTTCTCATTATTACACAGATGAAGGGTGAAGTAGGTATCGAGGAGCTGGTGGCCATTTCTGTTGACAATATTCCGAGCAGCAATGTTCCGGAGATGCCGAAGACGCCGCTAAAACAGAACCACAGTGAACAGGCATTCAGCTTGTCAGTGCTCTATGCTTTGAAAGCATCCATTCATTCATAAATAAATAAACAAACAAATGGCACCGGACGGGTCGCCCCAGGCACTGCTTGCTGAGCGCACAACAAATCGTGCCCCCCCCCCCATACAGGAAGCATACCTTCCTCTTCTCAGTTAGCGGGCAGTCACAAGCACGGAATGGAAATAGACATGAAATATTTTAGTCCTGTGTGCAATGGGGACCAAAGATCAATGGTGTCTTCCTCAACCACTTCTTCACTTGGTCTCTCCCTGAACCTGGGGCTCACTGATTCAGCCTGATGGACTGGTTGGCGAGCTCTGGGGATCTGTCTGTCTGTCTCCACCTCTCCAGAGCTGGACTACAGGAGCATACCACCACAGGGGCATTCCACCGTACCTAGCTTCTGTATGGCTGCTGGGAACCCAGACCCAGGACCTCATGCTAGGGTAGCAAGAGCTTTACCAACTGAAAAGGCACACAAACTATGTAAGTGAAATCCACCTGCAGGAGTGTTCATATCCTTGGAACATAAACTAAACGGAGACTTGGTTTTTCCCCACAGGCTTCAGGTAATCATGACAAGCGTATGCCCCTGTCGCTCAGCCTAGATGCCAGATCATTTGTACTACTAGAAGCCACAGAAGAAGAAAAACATCTAAAGCAGTAACTTGCTGGTTGCTCCAGCCATCAGCCCCCTAGACAGCAGCCGGCCAGTTTCTATTTGCTAATCAAGGCTGATGTCCTTCAGTGTCACGAAACAAGATGCCTGAATTATGTGGAGTCCCATGTCGGGAACACGAAAGCTCCGCGATCAGAACTCTGGTTTGTAAACCAAGCTGAAGAGCTAGCCCGATCACGGCATACTGGCAGAGCCAGGCAAAGGGCACACACCTGCAACCCCAGCACTTGGGAGACAAGAGACAGGATCAGCCTGTGTCCAGTCTAGACTACTAGCCAGGGCTACATGTGAAGACAGTTTCTCAAAAGAAAAGAAAAACGATGCCCGTGATGAAGCAAGCATGGGCATATCATGTTCGCCCATCAGAGCGAGTTCTCTTAGAGACTTAGCAGAGGTCAGCATGATGGCCCAGTGGATAGAGCGCCTGTTGAACAAGTCTGACAGCCTGAGTCCAGTGCCCAGGACTCACATGAAGGGAGGAGGGAACCAGCTCCACAAAGCGGACCCCCGACCCTGACATGCCCATAGACACACACACATCAGACACACACACCAAACACACACACATCATACATACACATCAGACACACACACATCACACATACACAGACACACACACACACCAGACAGACACACGCACACACACATCACACACACACACCAGACAGACACACACACACACACACATCAGACTCACATACAACAATGAATCAATGTTTAATAGACACCTAGCATTCAGTGTTAAACACGCTTCATACCTCCCTTCCTGCTGACAGCCCATTCTCCTAAGGAACATCCATGTTCAGCTATGCAGGAAATCAACTGAAAGGGCCTAGAACTTTTGTCCATTCACACGCCAGCCAAATGTTTTCTCCCTGTGTACAGTCTACAGTTCCTCGAGAAGGCCCTTGTCTAGCAAGCCTCCCTAAAACTTAGGTATGAAAGACTCCAGATGTGTTCATGAATGTCTCCAGGGCTTACGCTTACCAGCAGCCTGACGTGCTTTCCTTTCATGCCCTAGAGTACAGTCCACTCCCTGCTGCCTGTTTCATTAACTCCTTCACTTTTAACTAGGAGGTGGTGGGATGGCTCAGAGGGTAGAGGCGCTTGCCACCACATCCGATGACCTGAGTTCAACACCGGAAACCTGCATGATGAAAGGAGAGAACCGACTGTCTAAAGTTCTCTTCTGACCTCTGCACATTAGCCATAGCAGAGGCATTAAACACACGTGTGCATATTAGTGCATGCGCGCGCACACACACACATCTTCTGTAGCAACAATCACATGACATTTGCTGCATGACTGCCAATGGAAAACACCACCCAAACTCCGCAATAAACTGTATACACTCCATCCATGTCTGTGACGCTTCTGCAGTATGACCTCTTCCAGGACCAGCCAGAAGACATGCAGGGGGCTGGGGATGGAGTTCAGGGACAGAGTGCTTGCCTGGCGTGTCTCGTTCAATTCCCAGCACTCAAAGGATAAATAGTGGGGACTGGAGGGGATGACTCAGCCTACTGCTCTGGCCCTGAAGCTCAGAAGGGTAAGGACCGGAGATCTGGCTGCCGCTCTGCATCACAGGGCAGTCGGAGAATGGAGGGAGGGACAGAAGAATCCAGACTGGGATTCAGTTTCACTAACACATTGGCTCTGGATAGATCTTATCAACAAGTAGCAATTACAACCCTATGAATTCACAGTAATTTCATCCCTATGAGTCAGCCAAAGACCACAAGTTTGGAAAGGGCTTAGTACGGTAACTGTTAACTAATTTATCGAGGGCTGGGCCCATAGCTCGGTGGTACAGCACCTACTGGCCTAACACATCCACTCCCCCAAGGTCTGCAATTACATCTCCAACTCTGCAGACAAAAAGACAGTTTGTTTTTTAATCCCACAGTGTACTTAGTAGCAAAGTACAAAGAAATAATTTGATTTGGTCTGGTCTGGTTTTAAGCGGAGGTTATGTTGAACAGGGGCGTCTCCAACCCCAGGGCTCGGGAGCTTCTCCCGCTTCAGCCGCAGCTCTGAGAAATGCTTTTCCACACCCCCACTTCTGTGGGGCAGGCACCAGTACAGCACACAAGGCCTTACAGTCAGTCAGGTCACACCTTAGACTTACAGAAACCCAAAGCCACTTCAGCAGTGACAGAACTCAACTGGGCTCCTCTGTCCCCCACGCGCCACCTTTCCCTTCCTGGTCCTGGGGTGTTCTGGCTTCTCAGGTGTAACGGGGCCCAAAGGAACTGAAGCATCGTCATCGTGTGCCTCTTCACTGACAGAGACTCACCCAGGGGGGCCGAGAACCAACCCCTTTCCTGCACTCTTGTAAAAGTCAAAGGACTGTGGGTCTTAGATATCACAGATTTAAAACTCACAGATCCCCACCGTCACCAAACAAAAACCATCCCGTGGGCCATTTCGATGACTTGCATTATGGTTTAGAATGACATCCATGGAGTTAGTTAAGGCTTGGTCCCCAGCTAGTGCTGTATTCTAAGTGTTCTGGGGACTTTAGGAGGTACAGCCTGGAAGTAGGCCACCAGGTCACATCCTTGGGATGTCTTATCCCTGTCTCCGTCAGCTGTCTCTCTCAGCTTCCAGTCTGTCATGAGGTGAATAGCTTCTGCAGCACACTGTTGCAGCCATAAGCATGGCCAGCCGTGGGTGCAATGGCGTCGAGAACTGTGGACTAAAACTTCTGAGTCCAATGCATCCCTCTCGGTCTCCGGTCAGGCTGGACACAGTGGCCAGAGTCTAAGTGGGGATAAGCAGTTTGAGGCCAGCCTGGGCTCCCTGAAACTGTACCAGAAGGAACAGGAGGAGGAAGGACAGACAGAGGACAATTAGAATGTCCCACTAGATACTTTATCACGGCAACAAAACGTCTAACACGGTTCTCAAGTCATCAGTGAGATATTTCCAGAACAAACTTGAATCCAATGTGTTTAGTTTACAAGAGCCAGTACAGACCAACAGTACACACCAAAATCGCTAATGGAAAGCCAGCAAAGGGGAGGTAAAGGCTACGAAAAGGCAGGCCGTGGGAAAAGAAATAAGCCGTCAATGAACACACAAACAGAATGCACAATTATGACCGTCATTAAACACATGAAAACCAAACGCTCCCCAAGGTGGCAGACTAGTTTCCAAACGTAGCTCTCGGGTGCACCCGTGGCCATGTGATGTTGCTACACCACAATGAAGAAGCGTACCGTGTGTTCCCAGCACCGTCACGCGTGGCAGGTCTGTCACTGTGGCCCAAAGAATGCTCCGTGATATGATGGCATGAAACCGTAAACAGTTAGTGTATGGATGGCTTCCCCCCCATCCCCAGCTTGGGATACTCATCCTAGGAATCCCATGACCACACAGCACAGAGGACAAGCAGTTACATCGAGGGACCTCACTGCATTCTCAGCCCCAGCTGATCCCAGGGAGCAGCCAGACCCACAGCCTCTGACCCTCCAAAAGTGACACCCAGAAGACACAAGTTGTTTCCACAAAGCCCTGGCCAGACTGCCGATTTAGCAGCAAAATCAATGGTTGAAGCCACTAATCTCTTTAGGTGTTACACAGCAGGGGATAACTAGAGAGCTTTGGCTGAACGGGCTATTTCAGTCTCTGTCAAGGTAGACACAAGAAAAGCAGTATAAATCCTTCACTTGCAGCAAGGACCACTTAGTGATCACCAAAAATCCAGTACTGTTTAAAAAGCAAAAATTCAATAGACATGCTCAAATGGTAATATATCCATAAAAGAAAACCTATTGCCATTTTAAAAAGGTCACTTAAGTATGGGTATGAAATGCCAAGGGGAAAAAATGTTAACTGTTCATAGAAAGGAATACAATTATATTCCCTGAGTATCAGAGATCAGGGGTCTGCAGACTTGAAAGGGCCTCGGCATGACTTCTAAGCTTTCTGGGCACATTGGCCGCTGAAGGTTTCTTTCCAGCCTGTTCACAGCCCTTTAACGACGTAAATACCAATCTCAGCTCATGGACTGATAGAAAAGCCACCGCAGGCATGCTGGCTGCAAGCACAGACCTTATGAGAAGGTTTCTTCACAGCATCTGCATTAGAAATGCCTCTCATTCTCTGTCCGCATTCAGCACTCCCGGCTGCATTGCCTTCTTGGTTCAGGCGTTTATTCTCCGCCCCGAACCATGCTCACTGGCAGGTAAGGCCAGGGCTAAGACCCAGGTATGCTCAGGTAAAGTTGGGTTCCTGTTCGTTCGTTTTAACTTTATGGAAGAAAATGAAACTTTGCAGAAAAT